GGAAACAATCCAATAGGAGGCACATCTCTCAGGCCAAGCCCTCCCTGCACTTATGGGTACTTGGACTTCACTTACCATCAGGAGCCACCCTTCTTCCCCTCCCCCATTCCCCACTCCTCCTCCTCCTCTTCCTCTACATAGGATCTCATCCCAGGCTGGCCTCAAACTTTTCTATGTAGGACAACCTTGAACTTCTGCTCTTTCTGCCCTGATCTCCTCAGTGCTAAGATTACATACAGGCATATGCCACTATTCCCTGTTTAAGTTGTGCTGAGGATCTAACTCAGGGTTTCCTGAGTGTTACGCAAGCATGGTACCATGCTGAGCTACATCCCCAGCCTCTTTTTTGACTTCTAAGTGTAGCTCTAAAGACCAACCTTTTAGTATCAATCACCTACTATGTACCACCTGCTTTGTAAATCTCCCCCCCTTGAATTTGCCTAATAACCAAACAAGACAGTCACTAGTACAGCTATTTACTAATTAGACAGACAAAACCCTGGAAGGCCTGCTAATGGCTGGGATCCCACAAGTGGTGGGATCCCACAGGTGGTTCCTCCCCACAGACGGTGTAGGATGGATGAATGCTAAGAATGGAGGGCTTCCACTCACAGAGGCCTTCTTGCAGGGCAAAGGAGACAGTGTCAAACCTCACAGACTTTACTGGAGGCTTGTTCTTGAAAATTTCTGCAAATTAATGAGAGGAAAATATGTATCAATCATCCTAAAGTCAAAATTCTGAAACCTATTAAATAAGGCACCCCAACTCTACCAGTTACAAGAGCAGATGATGAGTGTGTTCAAGGTTCATGCACTCAAAGGTGACCCCACTTCAAGCAGATGAAACTGGAAAAGCAAACACTGCTGTCCCTCCAATCACTCTGGTTAAACAAGGAAAGCCTGGCCCATGCCAGTTTCTGCCTGACTTGTGAGAGGTGAGACAGCCAGAAGAGCAGGCCTTGTGATGTGGGGGAGCAGGCCTTCTCGGCCCCCCTAAGCCAGGGAGCTCAGTGACCCCAGCAGGAACAACTGTCTGCTTACAGCTGTTCCCAGGGCTTTGCTGTCCCTCTCACAGCATGGGGGAGGGAGAAAGGGAAGATGGGGGGGATGGGACAGAGACAGAGACAGGATTTCACAATAGAAATTATTTTGGACTATGCAGAAAAGTCCAAAAACTAACTCCATGTGAGACAAGGCAAAGGGGACCAGCTAATGTATATGATGTTATAGCCATCAACAGGGCTACAATTCAGGACTTGGGACCAGGTCCTCCGCTTCTCCTTTACACATTAGGAGTTGATGTGGTATGGAGTAGTTGCCAAACATAGACCAATGTGCCAAATGCTTTTCTAAGAAGAAATGTCACTAGATCTCTTGATCTCTCCCTCCCACCACCTCTCCCCACATACAACAGGAAAAAAAGAGGAGGAAAAAATAGACTTAGGAGGCCTAGTACTAGTTTGAAATGCTGTTTGAATAACTCCAGGTAACAACTAAAACCAGGGCACCTTCCCAAGTTAAGCAGGAAATTTTTCTGTGTGGTGTTGAGGATCAAACCCAGGACCTTGTGTATGCTAAGTGGGTTCTCTACCACTGAGCTCTATCTCGAGCCCCCCTCTGAACATATTTGGGGCTGAATTTCTTCCACTCCAGACTGAACCAGACTGTAGGACTATCTGGAATATTTTCCATTAACAAGTTATTCCTTGAAACATTAATATCTGCTTTCTATATTTGTATGTGTTGCAGCTTTTACATATTTATTCTAAAATCAATGTCTCACTAATTATCTTCAAAAGAGCTTGTCCTTGCACAGCCATTATGTCACACCTAAACCTAAAATTAAAAAGTTGAGGCCAGCGTATTTGGAAATGGTTGGACTCCCCCCAGCCCCCTCTATTCCAGGCACAGCCCAGGGCTCTGAGGACATGAGCACAGAGGCCACTTCAAAACATCAACAACTTAGCACAGTCATCTTGCCACTTTACTAGCTGAACCTTTTCTGTTTACTTTTATTATTATATAATTAATTCTGGTAACAAGCACACCTAAACTTAGTTTCTGCCTGAAGTCAACTTTTTAACAACCTCCCTAGAAATGGAGAAAAAAAAACAAGCTTCCCTACGCATGTGCACACACAATTAACTCAAGAGCAGCCATAAAAATTTAATGAAGGCCATGAAGAAACTGAAACTTGACTGGGGAGTTTGGCGCGCTCAATTTCACCAATCCTGGAGTGCATTTTGAAGGGAGCAGCGTCAGCTGATTGGCACAAACCTCACAAGCTTCCCTGTCCAGTGGCCCGCGGCAAGATGCCTGATCCCTGTTAAACCAGGCAAGTGTGGGCAAGAAGGTCGCAGAACCGAGGCAGCTCAGCTGGGAGTGGTTCATTCAGTAATGTCTGCATACATTTTGGGGTGTCACAAGTTGAAAGGAAGGTTACAAGCACCAAGTGAGCAAAGGCCAGGGATGTGTCTATCTGACAGTGCACAGAGCAGCTCCTACAACAAAGTGTCTAGCCCACCATTCAGTAGTACCCCGTGAGAGAAGACCCATCTAGCTCCAAGCACCTGTGATTCACCTGTGGTTCCCATTTCCCTGTTATCTGGCTTACACATGGAACATCGCACTGTGTTTCCTTCTCAATTGTTAGCATGAGCCTCAAATTGTTGTCTAACAAGCAACAAGTCATTCTCCCTAAATCATAGTGGGAAAAGCTGGAAAGAACAGGCCGGTACTTAGTGATAAGAAAGCCCTGTAAGCCAGCTGTCCTAGGAAACTATCATTTCTGTGCTTTCTGTTTCTATTCTGACGGGACAAAGAAACATTTTCTCAACTGGACAATTTAACAAAGGGGTATTCTAAGACATTAAAGAGAAAGAGTCTGTTAGGAGTGTGCCTCCAATCAAAACACCACTGTTTTGGCCTTTTCTGCCCGCCTGCTGCTATCTATTCAAAGTGTAGGGTGGAACGCTGAAAGCCAACTAGAAATTAATATCATAACACAAACACACCACCATATTAAAAGAATAATCTTAAAGTTGGGCGTGGTAGCGCACGCCTTTAATCCCAGCACTCGGGAGGCAGAGGCAGGCGGATCTCTGTGAGTTCAAGGCCAGCCTGGTCTACATAGTGACTCCAGGACAGCTGGGGCTACAGAGAGACCCTGTCTAAAGAGAAATATTGAAGAATACTCAGGCTGAAATGAAGAAAGAAAGAAAGAAAGAAAGAAAGAAAGAAAGAAAGAAAGAAAGAAAGAAAATAAATCATCATCTTAAATACATTTTTTAAAAATCCCAGAAACATTGGCCATTCGTGACCAAGGGAAAAAGACTGTGGATTGTCTAACATGCTCTTCAGCCTTGGTCAAGTGACTTATCTTTGATTAAGACGCTTCATCTAGAAAATTAAGAGAATGAAAAGGAAACCGGTAAAAATAAGTTCAGTGTTATATCAATCACAGGAATAAAATCCTGGATCCAGCTCTCGCTACAAGGTAAAAAGAAGTTCTTGGAGCACTTAAAAGTCCAATGGCTCAGCAAGGTCAGGACTTGGGAACAGCAGCGGCATGCTATCTTGAAGTTCCCTCCACTTACTCTAGGGGGCAGACGTCCATCCAAGGGGAGACCTTGGACTCCTCAGGTCCAAGGGAGAGAGGGATTAGGGAGGCCTGTCATCCCCAACAACTATATACAAATTTTATGTTTTCACCAGATTTTCTAAAGGACCACCAAGTTAAGAACTATTTGCCCTAGAGACAGAACCTGTTTTCTTACAGATGAAAGCAATTAAAAACCCAGCTCAGGGGTCATTTACTGTTGGGGGAACTACAACCCTCAAAAAGTCCTGGTGCCTCTCTACAGGCATGAATATAAAAGCCCATGGATTAGGAATGTTAAGAGGGGGAGGGTGTCACTATACATACATATATGTACATATATGTATATATATATATATATATATATATGTGTCTGTGTGTGTGTCTTTCTAAGTCAAAGTATGTATTGATAATAACTTCCCAAGCTACCTTTCACGGTGAATGAGACACAATCACTTTGAAACTTTCAATTTACCATTACACAAGAAAAATCACTTGGACCATTCCGAGTAGATGTCTGAGAATACAGTTAAGTGTGCATCAGAAGTTGAAATACTATATCCAATTAAGTCCGATAAAGCAAGTCAGCTAACACTGAGGCAAACTCTCACCAATCTCATTTGCTGGAAGATTCCAAGACTCCCGGATTCACAAAACATCCCCTGGCTTTCAACAAAAATCACATCAGTCTCCCTCAAGTCAACTGAGTTTACTCTGAGCCACTTCAAACCTCAAAACTTAAACAGAATTTATTAAATAAACACAACCAAGAAAGGAAAGGGAGCCAAGAAACCAGAGCAGCTCTGGATCCCAGGGGGAACAAGGGGGGTTTTCAAGTCACGTTTCAAGTCATTGTGGTGTCCCGCCCTCAAAGACCCTAAAAAGAGGGCACCAATTTCATCTTCTGAAATAACCACTGTTTGCCGTAAACGAATTTTTAAACAATGGACAATCTGCCAAGGACTGGCATTAAAGTCGGGTCGCGTGCTCCGGATTGATCCCAGACCCGGATGCGGCAGGCACCCCGGGCCCGGCAGGGCTGGCTGGACCCTGCGGTCCCTCCCCACACCTCATCAGCCCCCTCCTCTGGAAGCCACTGCACCCCTGCACAGGAAGCCCGCACTTTCGGGGAAGGAAGTGGCCAAGCAGACCTTTCTAGGAGGAAGGCGCGTCGGGACTGAGCGTCTCCAGCTTCCTGCTCCGGGCGCCCCGGGACTCACCTGGCGCGGGGTGTCAGACAGCCACCCACGCCCCGGAGACGCACCTCCGCCGCCCGGGGACCGCGGGAGCGCGGGACGGAGCCCAACCTGCCCGACTTACTCATCCGAGTCCGGGTTTCGGGAGCCTCCCACCAAGTTCGCCCCGGGGACCTCCGACCCGGCGCTGGGGTCCCCGCACTCACCTCGGGGAAGAAGCTGTCCATTGTTCCTGCGCTCCCGCAGCCCGCCCGGCAGCTCCAGCTCGCGGAAGTCAGCGCGGGTCAGGGGAAACCATGCGTGTCACGGCGCCACTGCGGGCGGTTGCAGCCCGCCGGCCGGCCGCGCCACCATCGCACCTTTGTCCGCCCGAGTCTCAACTCTCGCGTCCGGACCTCAGCCTTTGTCTCTTCTTCCTCCAAGTTGCTCACTTCTGGGCAAGGCGCTCGCGGGCGGACGACAGCTGGTGGCACATTCTTCCCGGCTGGGGGAGGGCGGCGCACCCGCCTCCTCTGTACTGCGCTAGGGCCGGGAAACAGCCGGCCACCAGCGCGCCCCAGTCCGTCTCCCCGCGGGCGCCGCGACGGTGAATAGTCCGGCCCAGGCGCAGCCGGCTCCAGCCCGCTCCCAGGCTGGCCCACCGGCGTGCACAGCCCGCCCCGCGGAACGCCCCGCCCCCGCGGCGGGACCACGCCCCCAGGAGCATGGCTCCGCCCACTCTGCGCCCGGCCCGGACCCTCCACCGGCCCGAGCAGCGCTCCCGCGCTCAGCTACACCCAGACCACGCCCACGGTAGCCCCGCCCACAGCCGGGACCGGTGTCCCGCAGGCCGTGCCCCTCCCGGTAATATCCAGATCACGCCCACCGGGTGCCCGGCTCCGCCCCTGAGGCCCCGCCCCCAGCCTGCCGCGGTGCCCCGCCCCCAGCTACCACCCAGACCCGCCCTGCCTACTTTTGGGCTCCCGGCCCCCGAGCTTCTCCGGTGGGAAGTTGAGGGACCTAGGCACCTGGCGTCTTCTCGCCGACCTGCCTAGGTGCATAGGTGACTTGACTTTCCTCGGATGATAGAGCAGCCTAGGTAGTCGCCGCGGATGGGGGAGGGCCTTTGATGCTAGCGGACCCCCGGAACCCGCTCCAAGCAGGTCTCATTGATGCGGCCTCGCCGAGGAGCGATCCCGGGAAAGGATAAACGGTGAGCGGAGCCGCGCGTGATGAAAGTGGAAAACGGACGAATCAGAAAGTCTGCACGCTGCCTTGCCGTGTCGTTTTGTCTGCTCCAAGTCGGGTTAAAAGAAGTTTTCGTAATAGCAGCGGGGAAGTGTCCTATAACATCTTAAAAATGTAACCCTTTGCCTAGACCCAAAGGAAACAGCAGATTGAAGGGACAAGGATGAATGGTCTCATCCACCTGGAGTGGAGTCCGGTTCTCACTGGGGCAGCTCTCCAAGTTTTACCAGGTGGCCAGGAATCACTTGGGCATTTTGTAGCACAGACTGCGATTCCTGAGAGTCTGCTTTCCTACAGGCTTCTAGGAGGTCCTAGAAGGGTGAGTCTTGGTCCAGTGCAGAAAGAGCTCCAACAAGCAGTAGAGTTTACTTCTGTAGCCGCTTAACGAGGCACAAGGAGACGCCATCCATGCTCGGTGGATGGACCCTTTGAACCAATTCACTGTCAGACTCACTGATGAGTCACACCTGGCCCAGCAGTGTGCAGTTAACTGGCAGGCTGAAAACAACAGTGAATGGTTCTTCACAAATGGTTTAAGTTCCCTGTAGGAGACTTGCCAACTGCTGTTCAACCTTTAAAGGGGTAGAGAAAGCTACCTTCCAAGACAATCCCTGTAAAAGCCACTGCCACTGTGCCCCAAGCTGCACCCCACCTGGTTAGGCACTACTAGGTTTATTCTGGAGACCGGGGCATTGATCTCATATTGTGATTTATTCTTGGTGCCATCAGGAAAATAGAAGCCCTTGGTGGGAGCATATTGAACTCTAAAATTTGTATCACTAACCTGTCTCTGAAAATGAATGAATGAAATATCTTACAATTCTTGTTTGGATGTGTAATTCTTTGTAACTCCAAATAGTTCTTCATCATTAATATTCTTACTTTTATCCCGCTACTCTTTGGGAAGACTCAAGGTAAAGACGAATTAATCACGTGTTATGTGATTTTCTTTCACAAGTTTGCACACTTGAGACTACACCATTAAAGGCTGTGTCCAAGGCTGAAGGAAAGTTAACACAGAGCCAGGACAAATATCAACAATCCCATCACCAACCAAACTGCTTAGTCAAATGAGTCCTGCTGCCAGCTGTGTTCGATAGCACAACAGAGCAATAACAGCCATTATGGTGTTAACCTGCACACATTTCTGCCAGAGAAATTACTAGGCAGCTGTTTGGAGTGCGTGGGTGTGGCTGGGTTCCCAGCTTCAACCCTATTCCAGACCAGTTGGACAACCTTGGCCTTGGCCTTTCAGAAAGAAGTCAGTCTCTAATCCAATACCGGACTGCCAACTGTAACAGATGTGCCACGCTAATGCAACTGCTGACAACAGAGTATCCTAGGCATGAGGATGAGGGGCTGGATGGGCCCTCTATACTTTTCCTGTATTTCTGTAAATCTAGAACCGTTTTTGAAAAATAAAGTGTGTTCATTTTCATTTGTTTTGAGACAGGATCTCAAGTATACCAGGCTAGCCTTGAATTCTCTGTGTGGTTGAAAATGACCTTGAATTTCTGGTCCTCCTGCCCCCACCTCCCAAGTGGTGGGATTACAGGCCTGTGCTACCATGCTCAGCTTTTGCGTTGCTGGGGATCATAGCGTATACTAGACAAGCACTCAACCCACTGAGCTACAGCCCAGCCTTGCTTGTTTCTTCACTGAGAGTCTTCTTCCTGTGTAGCTCAGGCCTGCTTCAGCCTCCCAAGCACTGGAATTACAAAACAAGCCAGCACATTAGACTTGTTACATTTTTTAAGTTACTATCCTGTAAATTTTGTTTACTATTGTACTTTAAAATGACAATAAATCCATTACATATTAAAATAGCATATTTCATGAAAAACAACTACATGTTCCAAAATAATTAGTGAAAATAATGGCATCGTTTACATAATAACTTTATAGAAAATATTGAGTTCTTAGATTTGCTTCTGCATTTATTCTTACACAACATGCTGCTTTGGTTGAACTATATGATGATAATCTGGTCACATAAGGAAGAGTATTTTAATATTTCATATAATTATGAATATTCTTTATACTATACCAAAACAAGTATTTTGAAGTGTTTGTGATGTGGAACCTGCAGCCATATGAACACACATTTTGTAGTCTTACAAAAAAATATCATTACTAGTTTGTTAATTAAGAAGATAGGGATAGGCAGCTGAAGAAATGGCTTATGGTTAAGAGTGGTGGTTGCTCTTGCAGAAGACCAGGGTTCGAATACCAGAACCCATATGGCAGCTAACAGTCGTCGGTCTGTAACTCCAATTCCAGTGGATTATGGACCCTCTTCTGTACTCCGCCAGCAACGCATGACACGGGTGTACCTACATACATGCAGGCAATACACACATACACATAAAGCAAAAATAAATAATTTTTGAAAAAGAAAATAGGGTTAATAATTATCCCCACTTAACTCACACAGAGAATTTTGAGTCAGATACCATATAGGAAGTTGAATTTAGGGAATCATTTCATCTCTTTAAAAAACAGTTTTCCATCAGTTTAACCAATTGTGGTCCCTCGATCACTATCAAAATCCTCTGGAGGCAATGTTTCTCTCTCTCTCTCTCTCTCTCTCTCTCTCTCTCTCTCTCTCACACACACACACACACACACACACACACACACACACACAGCCGGATTCTGAGTCTCTGGGGCAGTTTGGGCACCTTGGAATCTGCATTTTAATAGGTACCAGGTAGCCCATTCAAAGCTTGAGAAAACTCGCTTTAGGTTGACTCAGATTTTCTGTCTTCAAATACTTTCTCAAAAAGGTGGGAAGACAAACTGTAGCAGTGAGACTATTTGTAAAGCAAACAGCAAAGTGCGAGTTACTCTAAACATTCTAGTACGGTATGCAGCCCCCAGATTCTTCTTCAGGAGGAATCAGTTGCTTAAAAGGACTATATTAAATTCACATTTTTGACAAGACAGGACAGAGAAAAGAAGGCATTTTAAAATCAATAGATTTCTAAGAATACTCTTGCTGCTTTTGTTTTGTTTGGATTTTGGGTTGCTAAGTACTTCCTCTTGGGGCTATGCTACCCACTTTAGAAAACTGAAGGGTCAAACCCTGCCCTCAGACAAGTCACAGGCACAAGAAAGTTAAGTCAGAGCCAGGACACTGCTCTAAGAAAAGGTTTGTTCTCTATTTTCAAAGATATTATACCAGGTTAATAAGGTACTACATTTTCAAAATGAAACACCCCAAAAGTAAAAGTTAAGGTTTCTTATTTCATGGTATAAATTAGTCTGCAATTGAAAAAAAGATGATTTTACTATCATTAGGACCATTTCCCTCACTTTAAGCTTGAGCCAAATCTACATATGAATTAAGTAACCTAATCTTGCTCTGTTTGTTCTCCACCAATGTTTGTTTTCAGTTGAGATGTGTTGTAATTTCCTTTATAAATTCAAATTGAGTTCTCTGTTATTAATGCTATTGCCTCTGACTCTATCTTGATGTGTGCCCAGGTGGAGTTTTCCCATTATCTTTATTTTTCTTAAATACTCAGTGCTAAATTGCTCCATAGTAATGCTTTAATTACCAGTTACAGAAAGGGAAAGTTCTGAAGGGTTCTTTCACACAAATTAGAAGTTAATAACTGACACAATTTAAAACTCCCTTCATGTTTGACTAAACAGCAGATCATCCTTTCTGTTCACTTACAGTGTTGGATATTTAAAATTTCAAAAGGTTTTTTTTGTAATTTTTTTTAAAACAATGGCAATTAGGGGAATTTTTAAATGTTCTTAAAATGTTAAACAAATGCTCCTTTTACTGTCATAAGTTACAATTCAAAAATCTTCAAAGTTTTTCTCCTGTGAAACTAGAAACAATTAGGAATGATTTCCATAGAAAGAATAAAATCTGGAGGGGAGATACCTGAAATGTTTTGAATTGTGATAGAATTAATCAAGTATAGAACAAGCTGGATACAGGAGGAAAAGACGCTCAGCGAATTCATTTTACAGGCAGTCATTGTTTGAAACAAGATGAGCTAGAGCAAGTGTGTGATGCGCCTCACCAGAGAGCCTTGGATGGACAGTTGATTCTAGCTCTGTCTGTTCACTCAAAGTACAGCAGTGTTTTCTAAAGTGGTATGCCACCAAATGTGAGCATTGCTCCTGAGCTCTACTGAGTATAATGCATAGTATGAACCTCTGAAAGCCTGAAAGCCTGCGTGATTTCCTCTTTGTTTCCTTTCTGTCTTCATGCTCATCCTTCTCCCATTACGCCAAAGTCTTTCCAAGGTCTGTCATCGTGCACCTCTATTGTCAATCACAACATATTTGCCACTTCCAAATCCCAAGCCCTCACTTCCTTTCTTTTATCTTCAGTCTCTCCTACTCCCCAAGCCAAAGACTGTG